TCTATAGCATCAAAATATCCAGGGTAGTCTTCACAGTCCCTAATCGACCACAGAGTGCAAGATGGGATGACCCTTCTGTCCGATTTCTTTAGCCTGTTACACCTACCAAATGAATCCATCGATATCCAAAATGTCGACATTTCCTATTAGAGAAGTTCAATAAGAAAGTTAAAACAGACAAGTTAAAAAATTTAGAGTGACTATTCTTACACCATTCAAAAATAATTAGAATTGATATTACAATATCTTTATAATATAAGGAAATAGTCCAGGCACTAATCATCAATGATAATTTTTATTGAAAATATATATTAATTAACCATCACTGTGAAAAGCCCATATTCAAATGCATTGCAAAGTTGTATAACAATAGCCACGGCCTAAAATATTATTCTGAATAGAATTAACTATTTCATTAATATAGAACTTTTTTATAAATAATATAAAAATAAAAATTAGTTAAAAAGTTACAGATGAAGACAATTACAATTTAAACATGCACATATGTATAATAGGCTATTTTGTTTCTCAATCATTTTTAATGTAGAGTACAGTAATAGTAATTCCCCTGTATTTTGACCATGAAAATGGCTGGACATTTGACCCTCTACTAGTTATTGATCCAGCATGGAAGAACTAGCAGGGTCACGCCTAGGCCAGGTGGCCAACCTGGCCTAACTAGCCAGGCCTAGGCTGCCTTCTAGATAGTTCCATGGATCAATCATTAACATGTAAATTACTGTACTTTATTCAAAATAGTGTTGCTCGTCTAATGTTTGAAATTATAGTTTTTATGACTAAATTAGAGGTCTAGGCCTAGGCCTACATCGCGCCAGGCAGTAGAGTAGCATTCTGTATTCTATACATGATACAGTACTGCATATATGCTAGGCTATGCCTAAGCCTACACAGGTAAGACAAGTTGGTAACAAACCTATTTAACGCCATTTCTAAGACCACTACTTCCAAGACCTCCCTGTTCCAACCGGCAAACGTATTTGTTTGAAAGATTCATTCTTCAAAAAATGCAATCGACTTAATATTATTATTATTAAATGTTTTCGCCAATCCCGATTTTTCAATTTTCCGCTCGCGACGACCATTCTCATCATCAGTTGGGCTGTGTTAACATCTCGTTACGGTTGAGTGAATCAGCTGACTCCCTGTCTAGTGCAAAATTCACGAAACAAAAACTGGGGCAAACTGTTATTTTACACATAATTGAGACATTTTCATAAGTGAAAACCCATATAAATGAAAAGAACGGCCAAATTTACGTTGGAATATCTAAAGTTTGACACGATTTTGTTATGGTGTTACCGAATGCAAGCATTTGAAGTCGGTCCATTTTAGGAAATTCCCTATCTTTTAACACTAGCTCAAAATCCTGTAGCACCACTTCGTTTTTGGGACCCAGTTCACGAGCCTCGTTTTCGAATACTGTGCTCCAAAATCAAGTGACATCACGTTCTTTGTGGTCCCCCATCCCTCTATTTTATATTAAACATTAATTATTTCAAACCCGCACTTGGCCTTTAAATAACAAATTTATTTTTTTTAATTTTTTAATTTTCTTTTTTATCGGACAATACAGAATTTATTATTATTATTATTACTAACAATTCCCAGCAGGGAATATTCAGCCTTCACTCATTAGTGAGTGAAGTTTTCAAACAACTAATATAACTTGAACTTGGCTGATTAGATAAAAGGGTAGGTTTAATGGTGAATGTTAATTCCACACTAACTCACCATTTTCATCCAATTTCTCAAAATGAATCAAATCAGTGCTGCATACGTTTTTAGTTCGCCGATTTTTAGTTCCTATGCATGTAATGCAATAGGAACTATTGTAATCACTCTTGCTATTTCCTATGTTTTTTATTGTGTGTAGTGTGTGAGTGTGTGTGTAGACATTTATGCAAATGCGCATGCGTCAAAGAAAAGTTTTCCGACATTTTGTTTTACATCGCGATGCGAAGATCGATGTGAAGTTTTTGCAGAGTTCAGTCAGGGCTCACGCTAACCGACCGGAATGTCGGCATGGATGAAACTATTTTGGTTTTACGGCAAAAAAATCATCTGCTGTAGGCATAGGTATTTTGAAGAAGGCCTAAATTAAAACTAAAATGTTTTAATACTTGCTGAAATAGATCGTTTCTTCATTTAGATCTCCATTTTTCACTAAGTCCATGCGACGTTTTTTTCTGTTATATTCGTATGAGTAGTCATATGAAGGTACTATATCCCCGACAGTTGGCTGTGCAGCAATGTACTCCTTGAATGCAAACTGAAAACAGGTGAAAATATAAAGGCAGCCGACTGTCGGGTACATAACGACTATCTAGCTTTCCACAAAAACGTGAGGCCTAAGCTAGGCCTAGTTCAGTATTAC